TTACATGCTCCATTACTGCATCTTAGGAGGTGTTTATTGGTGATATGCAGGAAGCACCATTACTGCATCTTGGGAGGTGTTTATTTATTGGTGATGTGCAGGAAGCACTGGGACTGTTTAAAAGGATTGGGTTAATGTGCTGTTGAAATCCAAACTAAAAGTGACTCTTGCACTTGGATTTTAAGTGCCCATGCTACTGATACAGCTTGTCTTCCCCTTCTGCCACCGGGACCCCACACAGAGAATATAAGCTTGCCCAGGGCATGAAAAGAGACAGAGACTGAGAAGGAGAGAGAAACATAAACCTAGCAACGCAGACACACGAACACTCTCAACAACAGGGAACTCAGAGGGACAGCACATTAGAGACACACTGAAGAAGCAATATTGTCCATGGAAACCGGCTGATAAAGATTTAACTCCCAAAACAAACTTGGAGCAAGTGCCTACATGATGGCTGTCAGGGAACTCGTGCCAGTTAAAAGGTCTGAAAACAAGAGCCAGATCTTCCAACACTCCAGTCTTCCACACTGAGCAATGTGGAACTCTCAGGAGAGTCCGCATAGCATATCCTCAAAGACACAGATGCCAACCAGACCTGAACTTGGATAGGTCTGCCAACCTCACTGGTCAAGAGCTCACACCAGTTCCTTAGTGTGGGAAGCTGGAGACCAATAATGGAATCCACTGTTTGGTGTTTGTTTATGCTGTGGATGTTATGACTGAATTTTGTATATCTCCTATTCTGGAAGATTTTTAGTTTAAGTCATTCTGTTATTTTTACCTTTAAATATAGAAAGCAAGGCCGGGTGCAGTGGTTCATGCCTGTAATCCCTGCACTTTGGGAGGCCAAGGCGGGTAGATCACAAGGTCAGGAGATCGAGGCCAACACGGTGAAACTCCGTCTCTACTAAAAATACAAAAATTAGCTGGGTATGGTGGTGGGCACCTGTAATCCCAGCTACTCGGAAGGCTGAGGCAGGAGAATCACTTGAATCCGGGAGGCGGAGTTTGCAGTGAGCCTAGATTGCACCACTGCACTCCAGCTGGTGACAGGGTGAGACCCTGTGTCCAAAAAAAAAAAAAAAAAAAAACAAAAACTTTCTTTTTTTAGATAGATATATGTGGATACTTGAAATTATTTTAGTCAAGATTATGTTCTCTAAAGCTGCAAAAACAAACAGAACATAAAAGCAAATCCCCTTGAAGACTGTAGTTTTTTAAATGCTTATTTATAATGGGTATAATATGTATAAACATACATGCATGCAGGAGAAAAAAAGGTGGTTAGAGAAATGTATTTGGGTGTTAACAGTGATTGTCTTTGGCTGATTAAACTGAATGATTTGTTTTATTTTGTTTTTCAATGTTTCTGATTTAGACCAATTTTTCTTGATTCTCATGTATTCCTTTCATATTCTCAAAAGGAAACCTACTTCTCACATAGATTCTGTTGCAAGTTAATTAGTAGAGTGGGGCAAGGGGGTTTATAATGCTATTCCACATCCCATCACACAGTTTTGCTCGCAGACAATTCTCATCACACAAGAACTGTCCCCTAGCTGCCTACACACCATCGCTAACACTTTATTTCCTTGTGGTTCCTGCTTTACTTGCATATGAATACACCTGACTCTACCCCCTACATTGCCCAATGCCTTCAACTCAGAATGTCTATCTTCTACCAGCTCTTTACCAACCCTAGACCTGATCAGGGGAAATTTATGAGCCTAGGCCAGCGGTTGGTGACCCAAAATCAATGATTCTGGCTGCTGTTCCTATTATGACCTCAATCCCTACACCTAGTAACTGGGCCATTCCAGGTATGAGCTATGGTAGATTGATTGTAGTGATGCCCCCAATTAAAGGCCTTCCTGTATCTATGCCTTTTACAATGGGATACTGAAGTCCCCACCACCCGACCACACACACACACACACACACACACACACACACACAGAGATCTAAAGATGGTGTCCATTTTTCCTACCTCCTTGAATCTGGGCTGGCTGTGTGAATTGCTTTGGCAAACAGAATGTGATAGAAGCCTAGGCCTAAAGAGGATTTGTCCACTTCTGCACACTCTCGCTCTCTCCCTCTCTCTCTCCTCTCTCTCTCTCTGTCCCCCACTTCCCTCCCTCTCACACCTCTGTCACACCATGAGAACATGCCCAAGTAGCGTGGGACCACACCACACCCAAACTAGCCTGCTGCAGATGAGAAGACAGCCTACAGCCCACTAAGCTGAAAGAGAGAGCCCTTCCACAATCCACAGATTTCCTACCAAGCACATAGATAACTGCAGAAACTACATGAGCCCATCTGAAAGCAGAAGAACCTCCCAGGTGACCAGCAGATTCATGGTCCATAATCAATGTTTCTTGTTTTCAACCACAGTTGTAAGGTGATTTGTCACATGGCATTATTGTGTCAATAGATTGTGATACAGAGTTGATACTCCAGTTCCAATGACTGTCTTTTCTCCCAAGTCATCTAAATCTCTGCCCAAAATGCAGGTCCATGCCCCAGTATCCAGAGAAACTTCAGTCTTGCCATGGCCCTAGAGTGTTTTCTGCTTTGGCCCCAGGGTCTGCCTGGCCAGATCCTTTCCTAGCCCCTCTTATCAAGACTTTCCAGACACAGTTCCTCTTTGGGCCACTGCCACCAAGCTCCATGTGACCTTGATAGTGACCATTAACCTCATTCACTGTGCATAGAGCCCATCCCACAGTCTATGAACATGGATATATACGAAATGCTTAGTGATAAGCACTACATGCAGAGTGATAAGAGCAATTGGGACAATGAGGACACCCATGGTTATTAAGCACACATTCTGTGCCAGACACTATAGTCAATGCTTCTGCTTATCCCATTAATACAATGTCTCTAGTAGTAGATGTTATTATCCCCGTTGTGATAAGAATATTGAAGTTCAAAGAGTTTGAGTAACTTGTTCAGGATTGCACAGTTAATAACTGGCACAAGTGTGATTTAAAAGCATGTTTGATTCAAAAACTCTGCTCTGTTCACAGTTGCCACGAGTATCAGTTAGCTATTGCTGAGAAAAAGTCCATCACAAAACCTCAACTTCTATTTGTCACTGGTCTGGGGGATCAGCTGGAGTTTGGCTGATCTCAGCTGGGGTCCCTCATCCACCTGTGGCCAGTGGAGGTAGGAGGAGCAGTGGATCCCCTCTAGACCTGACTCTAGAATGTCCTGGTAGAAGCAACCTAGCTGGGATATAGCTCAGCTGTACATCCACACAGGAGGATCTCGCTCATCCTTCTACCTTTGGGGGCCAGCAGGCTAGCCCAGGCGTGCTTTTCTCCTACCAATGGCAGCAGCACAACGAAGCAGAAAGACACACAAAGGCTCTTGAGGCTTGAACTCAGGGCTGGCACACCATCACTTTGTCTTTTTCTATTAGCCAAAGTGAGTCACATGACAGAGTCCCAAATCAAAGGATTGAGAACCACACCTACCTATAGCGGGAGAGCCCTGCTAAGTTACATTGCAGAGGCATGGATCCAGGGAAGGGTGAAGAATTGGGCCTAGTAATTAAACTTAGATATCATGTCCCCTTATACCTGTGAGATGGTGGCAAATGTGAATCCTGCAAAGCAATGTCTTGTGTCAGGTTCCAAGTTCAACTTGTAGTTCTGCCACCTTTTAGCTGCATAGACTTAGTTGAATTATGAACTTCTCTATATTTCGGTGACCTCATCTATAAAATGAGAATAATTAAATCAACCTCTTAGCATTGTTTATGAAGATGAAATATAAAGCACTTTGTTTATAGGGTTATATGTACAGGTAACATGATTTCTTACATAGAAAATTCCAAAGAATCAACAGGAACATTCCTGGAACTAGTAGGTAATTATAGAATAATTGCAGAATACAAAGTTAATATACAAAAGTCAATTGCTTTCCTGTAAAGTAGCAATGAACAATTGGAATCTAAAACTGAAACACACATAGCACTTAGTAAATGTGAGCTATTATTACATAAAGAGGTTATAGGCTCAGAGAGCAGGGTGCTTCCTCTTCTGTTCTTCCTTTCATTTGTCTCAATCTAAACCTCTTTAGGCCAGTTTCAGCCTCTAGCACTCAACATGGGTGTATAATCTCAAAGCACACCGATGAGTATTCTTGGTTACTGACTTCATTTTCCTCACGGAAAGCGGAACTCTGGAGGATATCTGGGCTTTATACAAGGTAACAAAGTAAGCATCATCATAACCATCATCATCATCATCATTATCACCATCATAACTCCGGTCTTCAGGTTCTCGGTCTCCAGACTCTTAACCCAGCCAGTGAGCCATGCTGCTCCTTTAAATAAAATGAGGGGTTTGGAAGAGAAGATGAAGAGAAATCCTTGGGAAATTTGAGAGAAATGAGTAAAGAAAAAGAAAATAACATCCTTTTACCAGAGTTTTCCTTCTCAACCCTGACTTGGAGTTGCTCTTTGCTCTGGAGGAGAGCTCTAGATGGGCTGGGAGATTTGGATCTCCTCTGCAGTATTTCTCAAAAGTAGCTGTGCAAACCCAGGCAAGTCATTCTGCCTCTTTGGGTGTCAATTTCCTCCCTTGAAAATTGAAAATGATGTCTCTCTGTCTGTCTTATCAGTGATAAGGAAAATCAGATTAAATGATGGATGCAAAGGAGCTGTTCAAACTTAAAACATAGCATGGGCCGGGCACGGTGGCTCATGCCTGTAATCCCAGCACTTTGAGAGGCCGAGGCGGGCAGATCATGAGGTCAGGAGTTTGAGACCAGCCTGGCCAATATGGTGAAACCCCATCTCTACTAAAATACAAAAATTAGCCAGGTGAGGTGGCACACTCCTGTAGTCCCAGCTACTCGGGAGGCTGAGGCAGAAGAATCACTTGAACCTGGGAGGCAGAGGTTGCAGTAAGCTGAGATCACGTCACTGCACTCCAGTTTGGGTGACAGAGCAAGACTCTGTTTCAAATAAACAAATAAATAAATAAACCATAGCATGAATGTGACCATAAGAAAAAAAGGGAAAAAATGGAAAAAAAAAAAATCTCCAATGAGGTTGTGGCCTAGTCCTTTGCAAAGACATTGAAATTTGGTGTCCTGGTGGCTTTCTACATTGTTCCTAGGGAGTAAAGAACATGTCATCTACACACATACCCTTAAGGGCTCATTAATTGCACTGCTGGGTAGAAACACATGCATATACATGAAAATCTATCACTGATGGTGCTCTAATAACACCTGGGGTTTGTAGCTCAGGAGAAGTCCAAAGCAGAGAGTTGCAGGTACCTAGTGGTCCAATGGAGTGATTGTGCCCCAAGGCTTTGAAGCCAAGAAGAACTGGGTTCAAATCATTGACTTAAAGTCTGATGCTCCGATGTATTGCTAGAAAAAAAGAGGGCAGGGGATGATAATATCAACCTCATGGGGCCATGGTGCCATATCAATATATATAAATATTTAAAATGAGATAATGTCTACAAATCTCATTGATTGAGAAAAAGAAGAGGAAGAGTGATAAAGTAAATGCCGATCCCTTGGTGTGTGTTACCTCCCTGGAATCCTTATAGGGTTCCTGCATTGTGGTATCAGTCTCCTTCAAAGTTTCCAGATCCTTGTGTGTCTCATGCTAACACCTCTACAAATAGATGGACCAAGGCTGTTAAAACACTGCCACAGATCGGTGGGCTCATGGAAGGAGCCAGGAAAGGCTGAGGAAGGGAGCAGCTCATACGATCATGGCACCCAACAGTTGAACAGCAAAGGCTGCGGCAAGAGTAAGTGGAGATATTCTGAATCTTGAGCTCCCAGAGTCCCTCCAGATTTGCTTAGAGACTCACTCCACTCTATGGACCACAGGCACCTGGAGCACTTTCTGTGACAAAAGAAAACAAACAGGAGGATAAGCAAGAAGTTCAATTTTAGGTTATTACAGAAGATTATCGCAAACAAATAGACCTAGGTCTAAATCTCAGCATGCAATTTACTAGCTGGATGGACTTAGGTGGGACCCGTGACCTCTCTGATCCTCTTATCTATAAAACAAGAATAATCAAACGTACCATAGGATTGTGCCAAGGATTAAAGTACATGCCACTTGTAAAACATCTAATCCAAAGCTGGTGTTTAATATATGTTAGCTCTTTCTTCCCCTCTTTCTTCTTAGTTCTTGCATGTAGAATAAACTATCAAATTAAATATATTTACATTAATGGCAACATCCAAACAATACAATTCAAAAGGAATGTAGGGTAGAGGAAAAATTCACAGTATCCATTCCTTAGAACTTCAGTCCTTATTTTAAAAATAGATTATTACAAACCAATGGGTACTTTGAGAAAATAGTGTCTACTTCTACCCATTTTGAAGATTGGAGGATGTAGAACTGATGCCCAGAAAAATAAAATTGCTTGAACAAAGTCACACAGAGAGTTACAGGTGGATCTTGTATTAGAACCCAGTGTATTAATCAGCTACTGCTGCATAACAAACATCCATCAATCTCAGCAATGTAAAACCTCCATTATGGATTCCCAGGCACCTACCTGTGAATTAGCTGGGCCATGATGGCCAAGATTCTCTTCTCAGGGCAAGAGCAGCCCCAAGACAGCTCTACTGCCAAAGCACATTTCAAGCCTTTTCTTACATCATCTACTAACTTCCCATTGCCCAAAGCACATCACAAGGGCAAGCCCCTCAGTAATGGGGTCGGGGAGTATGCCACATTCAGGGAGGATGACTCAACCCAGGGTGTTCTCGTGGGAGTGGTGGGAGATAGAGAGAGAACATAAATCCCTGCAGTACAGGCAGGTAACATGCAATGGTGAAGTGGGCCAAGACAAAAGGCAATAAGGAGAGGTAGGGCATGTGGAACTGTGAGACCATGCCTTCAACTCCAGCTGATTGTTGCTAGATCATATCTTTCAAGAGATGTTGACATGCAGATCTCTATAAAGCAAGCTTCCTCCATCTTAAATCGGTGAGCAGGACAACAGAACAAGCTGACAGGCCACATTTCCTCAAACCCTGCTCTTCACCATACTACCTGTCCCTAAGGTTCCCGTTGGTCTTTCTGTGACTGAGGATCTCAGTGTGAGTCCCCGGAAATATTCACAAGAGTCAGATCATGACAACAGGTGAAATGGCAGCCTTACCACGTCCTGAGTTGACAGTACGTAGCAGGTGTCCTAAGATTATGTGAAAGCTGACTGGTTTTAGGGAAGTAGGGGAAGAAGTCTTACAAATTTAATTCTTAGTGGCAAGTGCCTTTCTTTCATCAGGGCTCCAAGCTACAGCAATTTGCACAAAGAGCAATCTGCACATTTTCATCCTGTCTATCTTCCCAGATTATTAAATAGTTCTTGTTTAAGTTAAGTCAACAAAGCTTTTCCAACATCTGGAATTTTTAATATCTGAGACTGTTTTGGGGAACTTCATTGTATTCTTCTGCTGACAAATAAGAAAATAATAACAATAAGATGATGATTATGATAATAATAATAATAATAGAATAATAATGAGTCTCCATATAATGAACCCTTGCTCTATGCCAGGCACTGTTATAAGCTCCTTATATGTACTAAGATACTGGATTCTGGATTTTAATTATCCTATAATATAAATATTGTTCTCCATTTTACAGAATAAGAAACTGAGACACAGAGCGGGGAAATAATCTGACCAATATTATTCAGTAAGTAAAGACATTCATTTTTCCCAATAAAAAACTCTTACCAAGCAAGTGACCCAGCCTTCAGAAAAAAATCTGATAACATCCAAAATTGCCTTTATGAGTCACAAAGACAGTTATTTATTAAATCTTTACTCTATGGTCAACATATTTTATTGAATTCTCACAATAGCACCATGGGGTGTACCTAATCCCCATTTTCTCCATAGGAAATTAAGGCTCAGAGATTTGCAATCATTTCCCCCACTATCTAGATATAATTTGGAAGAAGAGCCTTTGAAACCCACATTGGTCTGGCTCCACTGGATAACAGTGCCTCCAATTTAGAAATGAGGCTGCGATATTATGATATCTGTATATGTTGATTTCTGCCCACAGTTCCTGGCTTATAACTCACAGCCTTTTGTTATGATGTTGGGATGCTTTAGGCCTCAGAAGCAGGCCTCAGAAAACAGAATCTCTCTCTCTCTGATCTTCCCCTACCCGCCTTTCACCAGACCAAAGCAAGACTCCAATCTTCCCGTGCCTTTTTGATTGAGACCCTCACTCCACAGAGGATCCTGCCTCACACCCTAGAGGGGAGAATGCTGCAGAGAGGCCCAACATATTTTGACACGGTTGTCCATGCTTCAACCATGCCTGTGCAAAGTAGTCTCCATAAAGGGCCCAAGAGGACAAGTTCGGGAAGGTTTTAGATAGCTGAACACATGGAGGTTCCTGGAGGGTGGCCCGCCAGAGAGGGCATAGAAACTCTGCACCTTTCCCCCATACGTCACCCTATGCATCTCTTATCTGTATCCTTTGTAATGTCCTTTATAATAAACAAGTAAATAAGTGTTTCCCTGAGTTTTGCGAGCAACTACAGCAAATTAATTGAACCCAAAGAGGGAGTCGTGGGAACTCCAACTTGAAGCTTGCTGGTCAGACGTTTGGAGACCTGGACTTGTGACTGGTGTCTGAAGCAGGCAGAGGGTAGGGGAGCAGTCTGGTGGGACTGAGTCTTCACCCTATGAGATCTGACGCTGTCTCCAAGTAGACAGAAGAGGTCAGATAAGAGATCTGAAAATGAAGAGATCGCATCTGCTCTGACAAGAGGGGATATGGGATGGTTTTGCCTGGGCTCTAAATCCTAAAAGTATTTTAACCAATCAACCCTTAGATACAGGGTGTCCTTAGAGGACATCTACCGGGTGTCTGCTGCAGAATTGATTGCTTATTTGTTGGTGGGGAGAAACCCTTCACATTTGGTCACAGAAGTCTTTTGTCTGTATTGATTATTGTGTTGAGTAAGAGAATAGACAAACACACTTTGAGTTTATGGGTTTTTTCACTCACAGAGGTTCACAAATTCTTTCTTACCTTCCCTCCTAGGCCTTCACTGCCATCAAAGTTCCAGACTCATCACAGCCTCCTCTGAGCCTAAGCCAGAAATCCTGAAAGTCAGGTCCTGCCTTCCTCTGGCCTAAGCCAGAGATCCTGAAAGTCATGGTCCTGCCATAACCATGATAAAAGGTCATGGCCTTTTTATCTCACCAAGTGTGGTGCCTGATCCGTCTCGTGCTGGGAGAAGGCTATGACCAGGACTGCTCTCTGCCCTCTTGTTCTCTTGCCATCCTCAACTTCTCTTCAACAACTCACATCCAGCTTGCCTTTTAATACTGCAATAAGGTCCATCTCATAAAATCAAGGGCTTGTAGAAACTTTGGTAGCACAACGAAACTTAGAGATGATCTAGTCTACCCTCTTAGTTTATCAGAGAAATTATGAGGCTTCCTGAAAACATCAGCCCACACTGACCTCTAACCCTCCACACTCTCTCTGTGTGGTTTTTATTGTTGTTGTTGTTGATACCACGAATATGAGCACTATATATTTGTCTTATATTTTCTCTGATGATCTTTTGTGTATCTTTCTCACAATGACAACATCCAACAATCAGACCTTCAAGCCAGAGGAGCCCTTAAAACTTCACTGGGCAGAGCACCTTCATTTTTCTGCTGAAGAGCTGAGTAGAAAGAAGGACCAGGACCCATCCAAATCCCACCACCTCCAGCACTGGAGGAGCACAGACCCCTGAATTTTAAGACCAGCCCCCTTGTACTCTACTAAAAGTAGGTGGCAACTTCCATTGGCTTTACTTCCTAGAGTTGTCCAATAAAGAGCAGCTGAATAGAGTGGAGAGATCATACACATTCAAGGTGACCAAACCAGCTCTGAAACCAACAGGCCCAGCAATGAATGCTTAGAGGCAAGAGAGACTGTATAGGAGAATATATAGGTGCAGAGTGAATACACTAAAAATAATAATAGCTAAAATGTATTGAGTCCTCAGCAGTTGGCATGTATCAACTGCTTTAATCCTCACAATAATCTATGAAGGAGGTTGATATAATTTGGCTGTGTCCCCACCCAAATCTCATCTTGAACTGTAGCTCCCATAATTCCCACATGTTGTGGGAGGGACCTGGTGGGAAATAATTGAATCACAAGGGCTATTTCCCCCATACTGTTCTCATGGTAGTGGATAAATCTCACGAGATCTGATGGTTTTATAAGGGGTTTCCCCCTTTCATTTGGCTCTCATTCTCTTTGCCTGCCATCATGTAAGACATGCTTTTGCTTCTTCTTTGACTTCTGTTATGATTGTGAGGCCTCCCCAGCCACGTGGAATTGTGAGTCCATTAAACCTCTTTCCTTTATAAATTACCCAGCCTTGGGTATGGCTTTATTAGCAGCATGAGAATGAACTAATACAGAGGTATTATTATTATCCCTATTTTACAGGTGAAAAAACCAAAGCACACAGAGATACAGTACCCAAAGTCACACAGCCAAAAAGTGGCAAAGCCAGGACTCAAGCCCAGCCCATCTGGGTGCAGAGCATGTGCCCACAATCCTTGCACCATAGCCTCTTGATTAATGCTTCTCCTCTCACTGTTAGCTCCTTGAGAGCACGGGCACTGTTTTGTTCACTACTTTATCCCCAGCACACAGCAAGGCAGCCAGAATTGAAAACTTATTGACCTAAATCAAACTGAACTGAAAAGTCTTTTATCACATGGCCAGGAGAAAGGTGCCATTGTCCACTTATTAATAGGGTGACCCAAAGAAAGTAGCTTGATCTCAACTCCTCAGTATATATAAATGGGGACGGTAGTACCTACATCATTGCATTAACTCCAGTTGTACTTAAGACAATGTTTATAAAGTGCCCGGAACACGGTAAGTGGTCAACAGTGGTAACTGGTATTATTAATGTTGGCAGGGAAAGCAAGACAAGAAAATAAACCCCACTGGTGCTGGGACTATGTATGTGCTCAGAAGAGGTCAGATCAGAGATCTGGAAATGAAGAGATCACATCTGCTCTGAAAGAGGGGAAATGGGATGGTTTTGCCTGGGCCCTAAATCCAAAAAAACCATTTTAACCAATCAAGACTTAGATACAAACTCTCACATGAGTCTCAGAGTCCACCTAATTTATAAAGGGAGTAGCC